TGAGACTAAAGTCAGAAATCTGAGACTAAAGTCAGAAATCTGAGACTAAAGTCAGAAATCTGAGACTAAAGTCAGAATTCTGAGATTAAAATCAGAATTCTGACTTTTTCTCCATATTAAACTGAAATAAAATTTAAAAATCAGTTGACTTTTTTCCCCAGTGGCTCTAATAACCTTCAGTATAAATAGGTTGCAATCAGCTGCTAATTTAAAAAAAACAAAAAAACAATCACAAAATTAAAGTAGCTGGGTTAGTTGTTTAAGACGTGACTCTGGCTCTTGGTTTGCAGAGAGGAGGTGAACGAGAAGTTACGAGACACTCCAGATGGGACCTTTTTGGTGCGAGACGCCTCCAGTAAGCTGGAGGGCGAATACACGCTGACTCTGAGGTAAAAACCAAACATGGAGAAAAGCACACGTCCCAGCTCCTGTTCCATTTGTTAACCAGGCGTCTGTCTCCCCCTGCAGGAAAGGAGGGAACAACAAGTTGATCAAGATTTATCACCAGGAGGGTCGTTACGGGTTCTCAGAGCCTCTAACCTTCCGGTCTGTGGTGGAGCTCATCAATCACTACCGCCATGAGTCCCTGGCTCAATACAACGCCAAGCTGGACACCAAGCTTCTCTACCCCATCTCCAAATTCCAGCAGGTGGGTTAAGCCTGCATGTTTGATGCCTTTTGTCGACTTGAGGCATAAAACCATTTTGACTATTTTGTTTTTTATTTTCAAATTGCTGTTTTCTTTCAATTGCTTGCTGTGTTGCTCAGGTGGTTAAGGAGAACAGCATAGAGGAAGTCGGAGAGCAGCTCAAGGTCTATCATGAGCAGTACCAGGAGAAGAGCCGCGAGTACGACTCTCTGTACGAGGAGTACACACGCACCTCACAGGTAGGACCTGTACAGCGAACCACAGAACAGGAGGATAATTTCTGCCACCATCTTTACTCCTACAAGGTTTCCGCAGGTCATTAAATTTCATTAAATGTGATCACTGTGGCTCTTAAAATGCTTTATTTAACGTTTACTAAAACAATTCAGTCAGATATATTATATCAGATATAACTTATAGCATGGCTGCAGTCTGTCAACGGTAAAGATGACAAAGAATTTTGAAGTGTTATTTATTTATATATATATATTAGTGCTGTCAATCGATTACATTTTTTTAATCGCGATTAATCGCATCAATGCCT